AACGATAGCCATGTGATGTGAGTATCAGTCACATGGAGGCAGGGCTTAAAAAGCCTGAAGAAGTCTCTCAGACTGAAGAAGTCTCTTGGAGGAGAGACGAAACGTTTCATTAGAGAAGAACCCGTCCAGAAGACCTATACAATTTTTTTCTTTTTGATTTTTAAGGATGTTGAAAACAGCTCCATTCATTTTCTATGGGAAAAATGTGGCCGAAGAAGTGAAATAGCTAAAAAAGTATAAACAGCTGAAATACCACAAGTCATAGCCGGAATGTCCTGAATGAGCTGAATGTTTTGATATATAAATGGTTAAAATAGCGCAAAAATACGATATAATATATACAGATATAATATAAAGAGATACGTACTAAAAAAGCGTCAGTAACGTGAATGCTGTGAAGCGTTCACACAGTAATACTCGTGTTTTTTTATTAGTAATTGTACTCTGAAACCTTTTAGGATATTTTGGTTTTGACCCATTCTGACACTTTCCAGTAACTTTCCTGTAACCGTTTGTGTTCACAGGTGGACCTGGGTTTTCTCAGGTTCATCACGGCCATCGGGACGCAAGGTGCAATTTCAAGAGAGACTAAAAAGCATTACTACGTCCGCTCCTACAAAGTGGACCTGAGCTCTAATGGAGAGGACTGGGTCACGGTGAAGGAGGGCTCCAAGCAGAAGGTAATGAGCGAGCGGTGCCGTCTGTCAATCCAATGCTGATGACTAATGAAGGACTCTGCATACTAATCAAAAAATTATGGCACTTAATTAATGTTTCCTGTGAGGCAGTGAGTGAACCTCGAGCCTTGCCTGRACTCTGTGCTGATGCTGTGGCTCAGGTAGCAGGACAACCTGGACATTCAAGGACGTTTGAATTCTTACACAACTGCTCCTTGGGAACTTTTCAGCAGAGGCTCACAACCCAATTAATTGTTCGTCGCAGCAGATAAATATAGCTAATAAGCCAATTAAACATGACCGCCAACAACCATTTCAGTAGTTATTCAATTAGAACTCGTTTTTGTCTCTCAGAAGATTTATGGATAAAATATATAACAGACAATCATCTTAAAATGTGATATTTAGATGGTTTAGACCCAGAATGTAGAAATTTAAGGAGCTCAAAAATATACCTTTTTAAATTTTTCGTTTAAAACCAGAACAGGACGCTAAGARTGGATAAGAATTGCTGAATGTTAGACTGGTGAGTAGTGAGAAAGAAGGTGGATTATATGGACCGAGGCTGATGGGACGAGTGGCTGCAGCTGTGAMWAATGAAACCAGKAACAGGTGTGGCTGGCAGACTGACTGAGGGAGCATAAAATAACTGTAAAAGTACTGAGATAATCAGTACTGAACTAGCGGTACAGGCAAAACAGAAGCAAAACCAGCATGGTTTCATTAATCCGCTAACAGCTAATTGCGGAACTGATTGTTCGTTTAGCGGATTAGCTTCTTTAACTAAAAACTGTTAGCGAACCAATTAGCTTCCACTAAATTAGGTTTTKCCAGTTGTCTCGAATTAGCTGTTACTGTTAGCTTCAGCTATTTACTTWTTTAGCTGTTTTGTGTTAGCTTCTGCTAWTTTWTTTTWTACATTTTTAATGTTAGTGAAGCTAGATTTGTAGATGGCAAATCGTGAGTTTGCAAAGCTAACTTCTTGGTTATATCGTTTAGCTTTTWYACTAACATTGAAAACTGTTAATGAACCAATTAGCTTCCACTAAATTAGGTTTTGGCAAGCTAACATCAACAGGGTTGTGCTAGTCCCACCAGGCTTTAGCTCAAAGGAGACAAAGACATGTGACACTGACAGTGATTGTTGTGTTAGCGGTTAGCTATTAATGTTAGCTTCTGCAATTTTTTTACTTTTTTTACATGTTTAGCGTTAGCAAAGCTATATTTTCCGTTAGCTTATCATGAGTTGGTAAAGCTAACTTTTTGGTGAGGTGTGCCCACCACTGAGAACCAACACTAGAATGAAAAAATCAAAAAAAAAAAAAAACGGAAAAAAACAAGCGAAAGAAAATAGTAGCAAGACAACCGCACTGTTGTGGCTGTGATGATAATGGGGGTAAAATAATTCATTTTGTTTGTGTTTTATTAGCTGTAAATAGCAACACTGAAGAAGATGAGTCATTGTGACTGTAGCTCATCTAATAACATTAAAAGTCAAATAAAACTTAAGACGCTCCTCTTCTTCTTTTCAGATCTTTGAGGGGAACCAGAACCCAACAGACGAAGTCCGAGCCTTCCTCCCCAAACCGACTCTGACTCGCTACATCCGGATCCGTCCCATGTCCTGGGAGCAAGGCATCTGCATGCGCTTTGAGGTCTACGGCTGCAGAATATCAGGTAACTTAGGCAGCGAGTCCACGTTTAAAGCCTTAAGCTTGATGCATTTATTTACATTTCTCTGTCCTCACAGTGAGAGTTTTAGATTTGATGTCATCTTAAATAAACACTTTCAGGTAATTCTCTCATTACTTTCCTGAACTCCAAAACCGAGTCTGCTCATTGTTCTTTTTCGATTGCATTCTTTCTCCTAAAGTGTTTTTTTCTTTTGTTTTACACATCATGAATCAAACTAACATCTTTATCGCCCGAGGAGTGAGAACCTCCTGCTGCTCTCTGTTGATTTGAAATAATTATTGCTTCCAAAGCGAGCATAAACTCCCACAGAAGGACACAATTATTCATTACAGTAAAGCAGAGCAAACTCTCTCCACCTCATTAATCATCCCACCCACCCCTCCACCRAACATTGTTCCCGCTCTCGGCTGTGCTGAGAGCAACCCTCAGGAGGAGAGCTGCACCAAGTTGATGCAGCTCGGCGGCAAACGGGCCGAGCTGGACAGGCGATTCAGGAGATGTACAGGAGGTATACGCATCTTTTCTCCACAGTAGGGGACTTTTTGTTGAAGTAAACTCTGAAACAGAAGCGATTAAACAGCTGATTTAACTTTGGAAAGATATTTTTAAAAGCAAAACCCGCCTTTTTGTTCCGCTGGAAGCACAGGGGGACTCAGAGGCTCAAAAAGAACCGGACATTGGGAGTGAAATAGAAATGTGTCTAGATTAGGGCTGATGAGAGGAGTGGCTGCAGCTGTGACTGGTGAAACAGGGAACAGGTGTAGTTGGGGTAGAAGTGGCTGGTGGCACTGAGGAATAAATAATGATGAATAAAAACACAATTAACTGACACTAAAAAACTTATAGAACTAAACTGAGACCATAAAGTTTGTTAAAAATATATATTTTAACTGAAATCAAATTATTTTATACAGAAATATATATGTATATATATATATTTTTAATTGAAGACTAAAAATAAAAAATAAAAAAAAATTTTGAGCAGTGTGTATATATATATATACTGTGTATATATATATATATATATACTGT